GCATCAGCAGCAGCAGCAGCAGCAGCAGCAGCAGCAGCAGCAGCAGCAGCAGCAGCAGCAGCAGCAGCAGCAACAACAACAACAACAACAACAGCACCAGCAGTAAATCAGTCTGACCAGAAACCAACCAACCGAAATTGTTGTCGCATTTCACATTTTTGCTAGAGGCTGAAAAATAGCAACATTCTCATTTAATGTAACCAACCATTCAACTATGCAAATATCATCATTAAATTCATCCTCAACCACTATGCATTCGGTCGTTCCACAATCGGACGCTATTTCGGCAACCGAAATATCGACGAAAATTCTGCTATTTATCATAAATCAAGAATCGAACAACTCGTAAAATGCATCTTCTTCATAATTCAAATATAATTATCACCCTGTACGAACACTAATAGATAGATACACGCGATAAAATGATACATGAAGTATTTTTCAAAAAACAAATTTTTTCGAAGAAAAAAAAGATTCTAAATGTCTTGAAAAGCATTATTTTATCGAAATTTTAATACTTTTAAGGGAATATGCCCACCTACTATAATAGATTTTTTGGAATTATTTCAGAAAGAAAAAGTAAACTGACTAGTATAAATATAGCATCGGGAATTGAAAGACTAATAATTTCATCCAATGTTGTTGAATCAAACATTGAACTTCGAATTGTAAGCTTCGGGAATGGTAAACGACCAGCGCAAAGGGCTATCACTGATACTTTATATTCATAAATTTCCGATGGTAATAAACGGATATCGATCTGAAAAAGAACACAAAAAAATAATATAATAAATGTATACTTCTATTTTTTCAGTAGGCAAAAATACGAGTCTAACTAAAGGAGGAACATATTAAAACACAAAAATGGTACACCTGATGCAGTGAAATCCGGAATGGAAATTGCAAAGAGATGGAAGGAAAAACCGTCAATCAGATGTTATTCTAACCATTTTAATTGTTTAGCACAGCAAAAAAAAGTAACGAGAGATTGAAGCGTAGCTACTATTTGTTGGATAGGAGAAAGGTGCCAACCTTAGAACTATTTGAAATGGATGTTACGTATATTCGTTAGGTAAAACGTCAATAACTATCCAGTAAAAAGCAAAACAGGAAGTTCATTTAGGAATCAAAATTTAGTACAAAATAAATTATGATTTGGAGTACCAACAAAAGACTAAGTTACATTCTTAAAATAACCGCATTTTTCCACCTCCAAAATTTGAATATGAATTTGACATTACCCAAAAATGGCATTTACCATTGTCTCCAATTACTTAACGTGAACGAAGCATTCAATTACCTAATTTAATTATCTAATACATGAAAAGACGATCTATTTTGTGGGTAAAATTAACCTAGAAAAAGAAAAATGGTAATGAGAAATAACTGAAGAAGATGGATGATTTAAATAGGACAACTTATATGAATTTAACGATAAGAAAAGGAAGCTAAAAACATTGAAATGCATCTTTGAAGAATATTTATTTTATATCACTCCAATTGTTCTTTCTCTATTGGCCTACTATCACACTCCCAGCATTCCAGCATCCTGTTTCTGATATCCTGTTAACACTTCCGTTATCTATTTCACCATTGCCTCTCAAATTGTCTCGTTGTTTAATCATTCATCAGTGAATGATAAACAGAACCTGGCCATAAAAATTTTATTTGCAAAGATGGTACAATGCTGTGCAATTAAATGAAGACAATTAATTATGTTCAAAACAATTAATACAAACAATTAATTATTTTCAAAACGAAGAGTAGTTTGAAGAAAAAGGAAAAAAGTATAACAGCACATCACTTCATCTTTCTATTATGGGATAGCAAATTGGGCTTCAGGTCATTTTACTTCGAGCTACATAATTCCTGATGCATTCTTGATTAATGTTACTATGAAAAATCTGCATCTTTGATATTGGTGTAGAACAATGTAAAAAAAGAAAAGAAAAGAGTACAAGAGCTAATAATGTATTTATATGTGTAATACCAGAGTAATACATGAAATAAAATAGAATAAACTGAAAAAGACTTAATCAGATGATACTATGCCAGGAAAAAATAAATATGAAGTGATAAATATGCAGTAACTAGAAAAAGTGTGCATTAAACAGAAAATGATAAGTACGCAGTAAATAAGGAATGATAAGTAAGCAGTCTTTACAATCTCTGCTCTTCTTTTCTTTTTCTCATTCTTTCATCTTCACTTATATTACCGTTAATTAACTATAAAATTACGGTTGGAATGATAATGGTGATATATAGAATGATAGTTGGAATGACAATGATAATGATGATGATAAGGTAAAAATAAAAAATGAAAAGAGACTGTATCCGGTCTAGTCTAACTCATTTCAATTTAGTTAGTTATCTTTTAAGAAATCACACTACCTTTAAACATCAATCATTCTTCTATGAAAACTGTTAACTAACGTTTGTTGATAATGCTGTAATAAAAATTTGAAAATTGAACGAGGGAGAAAAAAAAAGATAACTTTTAGCCAAAAAGAATGATTCGTTTCTTTTTTTTTGATTGAAGGAAATTATTTTAACTAATTACCTTTGTTTATTTTCAAAAAAATATTTTTTTGAAAGGATAGATAGATGGATGGATGTATGATCAAATGGAATGTTAACTGATGAAAAGGATAGATGACATATTAAATGCATCAATAAATAATTTCATTTTGTGAATTGATATCTTTTATTAAAATTATTTCCTGCATTTTTCTTTTTTCTTTCTATTGATGTCAACATATATTTATGAACAGTAGAAGACGTTCTTTCATCTTCCTTCCTTCATCCCAATACTTTATTGTAACAATTTTTAAATGTTGATTGATTGCAAAAATTTGTCAATTTGAAAGAATATCAATTTGTTTCCTTAACATAAATTTTTTTAGCGAAATTTTTCAAAAAATTGATTACTGATATCAGAGACATTCGTCTTTTCTTTTTTTTTTTTAATCAAAGCAATAACTGAACCGATAACTCAAAATTCAGTCCCATTTCAAAAAACTGGCCATTAAATGTGATACAGTCAGGAAAAAGAAAAAACGACATTGATCAGTTCCAAGATAAGCTTTAAATGATCAAAGATCATTACCACTTCATCATTTTTTTAGCAAAAAAATGAAATGAACAGAGGATAAAAATGTAAGCAGTGATTTGTCAACTTAAATATGAATGAAGTAATTAATGAGTTTCATTTCTAATGCTAAAAAGATGACTAGATTATGTAAGCGCTTTACTGTGATAAGACAATAGCATAAAATATTATACGACACAGAATTTTATTTTTTGATCATACTTAATCAACAACAACAATGTATGCTTTAAAGTATGAAGAAACATCTTCAGATTGCAATAATTCCAAAGTAGTGCATATTTAGTCACATATCTGATAATTGGAACAATACAATAAATTTAATCAATTTCACTGTAAATTTTGTCTTATTAGCAGTCTTATTAATAAGACGAACTATTCCCCGGAAAATGATCAACTTTCCTGAGACAAATTTTCCCTCGAATACTTCAGGTGGTTGGTTGATCAGGAAAGTACACAATGCAATGATACTGTGAGTGAAATCGCAAACTACATCTAAGAATGCCGCTTCCTATATCACATGTTTACAAATGTCAATTTTAAATAGAAAAAAATAAACAAACAAATTAAATAAAGCTAGAAAAAATTTTTAAAATGGATGAGAGTAGAAGGGTGATGGTATGTTCAAATTGTTCTTTGGTCGCATTCTTTAAGGTACAATGTTTCTGTTTTTCAAATTGACAAAATTTGGCTTAAATGATAAGAATTAAAATTTTCCTGCTTTCTGGTTGCTTGCATACATGTCTTTGTTTTTTTTTTTTTTTTTAACTAGGTATTTCTCAATAATTATGCATAATTTATCTACAATTTTGTGGGTAATGCATATTTAAGATAGAGGTATGCTAGAATAAAGTTTCATGCAGAGATCAGCCAGGCGAAAAAAATTGTAGTCATTTGAAGAGGCAATGAAATGATAAGGAAAAATGTCCAAGACAACATATACACTTAGCAATTTACATTCATTTTAAGGGCAACCAAGAAAAAGTGACATCAATCGTTGACAGCACTTTTAAGCTCTACTAGCACTGAGTGTATTGAAAGCAAATCTTGAATAACTGTTGATACTCTCTCATTTCTAACAAAAAACACTGCCATTTTCGATCCATATCATAAACATGCATTATATAGCTTCTTTTTTGAGGACAAAATTTGGTTTATAAAGAATAAAACCTTCGTACAAAAGCAAAAACCATTAGGAGATTTTAACTTTTAGAAATGCAAATTAATTAAATTATTTTCAGGAAAAACTTTAAATAAAATTAAAAACTAAAAAGCTGGAACAAAAACATCGCAAGTAGTGGTGAATTAAGGATAAAATGAAAGGAGGGATAAAATATTGAGGATAAAATGTTGTTTGGCTTAAATGAATATTAGTCACTAGGAAAATCTAAACGAAACTTTGTTCGGCTTAAATGAATATTAATCACTAGGAAAACTAAACGAAACTAATCATAACAGAAAGTCGTATTAAGGAAAAAAGCGGCAGGAGAGTAACCAATATCCTTATAGGTTTAACATTCTTGTAGGAGATAAGATGGAATAAAATGGAAGTTCTTTAATACTGCTGTGTCTTCTATATACTAAACATTATTTAAATCTATCAATTACCATTATACTACTTGAACCAGTAGATTTATCAGCTACCATCATACTACTTGAATTGGTCAGATTTATCAGTTATCATCATATAATTCAAAATAATTAAGTTGGCTGCTGCGTCATTGCAATAAGTTAATGTTTCTCAAAAACTTCAAGTCATCAAAAATTTTGTAAAAATAGTGACATTAAAAATGATTTGGAAGTTCTTAAATATCGATGTGAAGAAGACAGTAATCTAACAAAGGAAACCTTTTTGTTGCCAGCGAACACAAACACATCCGCCGGTTCTAATATCATCTGCAAATCGATCATTTTGCAATACAGATTCCTAATTGTGAAAATAACTGGAATTGCTGTTCGTACAATGAGATAAGAAGTTCGAAGTTCCGCTTCAATTGACAATGGGGAATTTTTCACAAGGACAGATCCAATGCTAAGTTGGGACATAACCCACCCATCCAATGAAGTATTCCTGCAACATGGATTATTCAAGTTATGTTGGAAATGACAATAAAATTCTTTGTAACAACGCACATGAGAACGTGAAATTCTTTGACACAATTTAAATTATTTTATTAAATCTAAATTTAACCTTCGCCAATGTATACATATTTCACCCAAATCACATCGCTTATTTTCTGCTTTCAATGAAAATCGTACAGGTGAGCTGACAGTTATTACATCGCTCTCAAGGCAGCAAATTTCATCTGTAACAACTAAATTAGTTTGGTAGTACCTCACGATATAAGAAGATAAGTTTACCACTTACCATTTAGCAAAATCTTTTCGTCTTTATCAGTTTCCACTTCAATACCCTAAAAGTAATACACATAGTGAACAATACCAGTAATAATATCAAGTTTCAGACAATATTTGTTTTTGCTTTTGATCTGACCACATTCCCAGAACTACTGTCAGTTTATGCAGATATGGTTGAATTGTTGATTATAGATGCGATATTATGATATCAATTTTAGCACACAATTTTATCAGTTTCAGTAATAAAGATAAAGATGTACACCTGAATAATGTTTTGGAAAAACAAGGAAGGAAAAAAGGAAAAAAAAAGGTAACAGATCAAGTGCTGACTTCATGTGCAACTCATCCAACTTCACAAAAGATATTATTGATTGTTACTGAGATTTTTAAAATAATTAGAAATGTAATTCACGAAGATGGAACGAAGCAATATACTTCCAAAGGGAACACTATGATTTTATTATGTATTTTATAAATTTAGCATTTTCTTCATAATCTTCGGAATATCTTGCTAACGCTATCACTTCGCCATTCTCATTGCACATTACATGGACGATTTAGCGCGGCATATGAAATGTCCTATTTCAATACATCATGGCACCATGTTTACACGGTTTGTTTCTCACGAATTTATCATCTTAAGATTCATAATAATTTAATAGAACATCTTAGTGGCTACAAATTCTATGTTTGCTTACGACAAAATACCTAATAATAACACAAATACAATGCCAACATACCGGTCTCCATGATACTTCCGAAATAACCACATCTGCGACTGCTGTTACATCTGTCCGAATGAAGAAGTTGGTTTCCGCAAGCGGATTTTCGATAATATCATTCTGCAATAAGAATGATGCACAAAAACTAAACTTCGAGAGTTAAAAATAAGAAATGTAAAATAAAAAAGATATCCCAATTATTTGCGGTGACTTCATCTTTATGTCCATAACTTGACATCTTTGATAATATAAAAAGCACAGTATATACACCCTGAGGACAAGAAATCTAATGAGTAATTCATGTTAAACTTGAATTTGTTCCATTTATTTTAAAGTTATATCACTTCACTCGAAAACTAACGTTTATAGTTAGTATTTTAGTGTTAATATCGAATGAAGGCCGCGACTTCAATAATATTGAGAAGTGTTTCTGTACCGTCATATCGTCGAGCGGTATAAAGACCTATAAAAACAAAGATTCATCGTAAAGAACGTTTATTTTGCGAAACATATTTAAATATACCATTAAGATATTTAAAAACACACCATTAAGGACATACTCGTCGAGCAGATGGTATGGCAGCAGTATCTTACATTTAACTGGACCTGAAAAATCACTGTTTGTGAACTCTGAATATTTAAAAGGGAAATCAGCTAAAGCAAAGTTCATTGATCTTTGAAACTTCCGATGCGTGAAGCAATGAATTGATATGAAACCATACAACGTATGAGCATATATGTTGCTGAACAGATTACATAATGCAGAGGAGATAAAACTCTAATAAAACGAAGTTTTGACCTTAAATGGTGGAATTTGAGGGTTACTGTATTCCAAAACTTTTGTACCATTTGGAACAAACTGATTTTCTTCGTTGACAAAGACTACAGCTCCAACCGTCTCTTCCTTCGTATCCAAGCACCAATCTAGTCTGCAATAGAATTTATCAGGTAATTCAATTTGATTAAAAAAATATTCCATGCATGAAGATAGGCATACCTAATACTTCTTATTGGACTGTTTTCCTCACATATGAATGATAGCGGTATTGTAGCAATTTCACCAAGCAATGTTTCACTTTGATTAGTTCCTTCAAGACGAAAATGAGCTTCACGAGGTTCGATTCTGACAAAAAAACAATTTGAAAACAGTGTTACAACAAAACTAGCTAAAACCAGAAACAAATAAGAAAATGTAAAAAAACAATAGAACAAAATTTAGGAGAAAAATGTCGAACTTACTTAAGTGTCGTCTGACCGACACATGCGTCCAATATGGAATTCATGTAAGAATTGTCATAGGTGCCATATGACAATGACTGAGCATCCCAATCCATTGTGCCATAAACAGATGAATGTATGGAACCAATTTCTAAGCTCAATCCGTTCACCTTTAAAAGAAAGTTGTACTCTACTTTACTATTTA